TTTTTTTTTTTTTTTTGTCCGAGGCATAACCCATTCCAGAACAGAAAATCAAAGTAAAGACAAAAAAAAACTGAGCCTGCACTACTCTTTGGCGGTCCGGGCCCTTCTCTTCCCTTTTACTTCCTTTGGTCATGATGACGAGGAAGAACCCCCCCAGCCAGAGACAGGAATGGCGCAGGCGCTGACAGAAGCCTGTTCACAGGACAGGTGTGAGACCATAGCACCCAGGGTTTGAACCTGTCAGATGTTTCCCCTGACCTTTATGTTTTCTCAACTGCCTTCTTTGAAATGGCTCGTGAAAGTAGGGGAGGCCTGAGGGAAACGAGAAAGTTCAGAGGTCATGAACAAAAAACAAATCCCTGTCCTAAAACCCTGGGACTTCAGACGGGCCTCTGAGCAGCATGACAAAACGGGAAAGTCATGTGTGCAGATGAAAACCTGATTTCCTCATCGCCTAGTCCTCTACTTTATTTACGTTGCTAGTGAGCATTCTTGGAAACTGGGTAAAGTAGAGATTTAGGTTAGTGTCTTTAGAAGGACACCGGAGCAAACAGGCCATGGGCAGAGAGAGAGGTTCAAAGGGAGGGAGATGAAGACTAACCTGGTGCTGAGGTCGCTGCCCCCATCAGCCATCTTTCCGCTCTGGGCCCCGCCTGGGCCCCGCCTGGGCCCCGCCTGGGCCTCAAGTGTGGCCTCCGAACCCTCCAGTTGGGGTGGCCTGGGTCAGGGTAGCTGCTGAGCCCAGATCAGGAAGTTTGTGAATTGACTCACGCAGAGGCAGCTCCGCCCAAATGGGGAAAAGGGAAGTGAAAGTATCTCTCAGTTGCTGGGCAGACAGACTTGTGGCAGCAGGAACAAAGGAGTGACAGTCAGGGCCTGGAGGAGCAGGGCCAGCCCCCCCAGGGGGGCCACTTCGGTGTGCAAAGACACGGAAATATCTATGTGTCCATAAGTGTTTCTGTCCTTCTATCTAAGGTTTCTGAGGGTAATAGGGGTGGGGAGAGGGGAGCTGTGTGTTTGCCACCTTCCCCTCGCCAACGAGGCTGTGGGGGGGACATTGGCAGAGACAGAAACTTAAAATCTCCCTTCCTGCGGGAGAGCCTGGACCCCGACCAGGTAAGGTCCCAGCATGGGAACACAGGGCTGGAGAGAGCACAAATGCTCAGCATCATAAACCTGGGGGAATGTGCTTAGTGTTCCTGGAACTCAGTCAGACATAAGGGAGAAATCAGCAAGCCTGCAGCCAAGGTGATGACGGTGGCTAATATCTCAGGTGCAAAGGTTTAAGGTGCCCCCAACTTCTGAATTGCATCCAGGGAGAAGGAGACACGTGGAAAGAAGTCGCTGGAATGCTGACCAGCACAGGCTTCCCTTGGATGCAGATGGAGATTGGAACCGAGATGATCTGGAAGCAAATACATGGGCAGGCGAGCCCCGCTGGGAGGGTGACCCTCTGCCTCCGCGTCCTGTCTGTTCACAGATTTCTCATTCGGATTTGGAGTCATCATTCCACAAAGCATGAGACTTAATTACATTTGAAACTGCAGGGGAAAGAGGTTTCTACCCTCTTTCCGTGGATGTTCTGTCTTCCCCGCAGAGGGGTGAACATCAGTCTGGTTGGGATTCCAGGATGCTTCTAAGGACGTCTTTAACCATGAGCAGGGTCTCTGTGTGCACCAGGAGCTGCACGCTTGTGGATCTCGTCCCCTCTCCCTCTCTCACTCACTCTCAGGGGTACAAGGACTAGTAAGTTGAGCTACTGTTGGGCACAACTGTCCTCTGCTTCTTGCCTCCATAGGATATGTGGCCCAGACAAGCCCTGACACAGACGACACGACTTTTCTAGCGTCCCCTGTCTCTGTCCCTGGGCATCAGGCTGACCCAGGCGACCACTGTGCTGGGTGTTGGCATAAATGTGCCAGCTTTTCCGTGGCTCTGCTTAGGGTCGCTGAGATGAGCACTTGGAATAGAGGCCACCGAGCAGCTAGCCAGTGGGGTAGGGAGATGTACAGGTGGCCCTCGTGGGGCTGACAGTGACACCTGGGGCTGGTCCTGGCCTGGAAGGAGGGAAGGGGCTGCCCCTGTGGGGCCAGGGGGAGCTGGACACGCATCACCTCTGTAAGAGCAGCAGTGGTTCCTGAGGAATCTGGAGGCCTCTGTAAAGAAAGCAAAGTTTCTGTGATCCAGAAAAAGCCAGACCCGCCAGGTTAGGATAGGGACAGGACCAGCTTGAGGAGCAGATTTCACTCCTGAAAATCCTTCTGGACTCATTTGAAGGAAACAAGGAAGCGCCTGGGGCACTTTCTGCAGCTTCAAGGAACACTGACACCAGGGCCACCGTCACTGTTCCAAAGTCAAGTGCACAGGGACAGGAGCTTGGGGGGCTGTGGGAGGTTGGGGGGTGTGTATGATTGATTGGAGCAGCCTGAGGCTGAATATGTGTGGATAAGCTCAATTTGGGGGTTTGGTTTTAGGGACCCCTTTTTTGCTACACACTAAGCCACCACCCCCAGGGTAGCTTTTATCAGGATGAAAGCTGGTATTTTGAACCCCATCTGCTTCGCTTTTGTACCTATCTGTTGGTTTGGAACGCAGGTGAGGGAAAGGGACGCACTTTGGAGGGGCCCACTAACACCCTAAATTTGGGTCCAGCATATGGGCATACATCTCTTTCCATGAGTTCTTGTCTACCTGTGCCCGGGATGGGTAGAGAGGCTGGGAGTCCTACCCCCTTGCAATTGCATGGTCACGATACGGTTATCACACGTGGGTTCGGTGGGCATTTGGTGACAGTATTACAGTTTTGAGGGACCAGGGTGGGGTGGTGCCCCTTCTCCTTCTAAGCAGAATCTCAGCGACCGGGCAGGCGTTGGTTGACCTGTGGACTCCTGAAGCTGCAAAGTTGGCACAAAGCCAGAGGGATTGCTGGGAGTGGAAATGTGAGGATTTCTATAGGGAAGAGAGTAAATCCTTGGAGGATGGGCTGGGAAGAGGCATCGAGGCAGGGAAGGAAATGGTTAAGGGGTGAGTGGAGGGAGGGAGAGAACCATTGGGCAATTTGGGAAAAATCCATCCGGGCCACTTTCTGGAGGTCTGCACTCCCCTCTAGTGGTCACGCTTGGTATCACAGCCTCCTGAGAACTGGCTTCTGTTGCCGGTTCAGAGAAACTGAAACCGAAAATCCCTCTGGTAACTATCGAAACCCCTGGAAATTAGTCGTAGCAGCTCCATCATTTCATTCCAAATAAAGGCTAACTAATTTAAGGATGGGATTCTGAGATCATTTTGATATTTGGCAGTTCAAGCACACACAAACAAGCTTATAGCCTGGACGGAGAGGTCTAGGGCACATCTGCTTACCATTATCTGGAGGTGAAGGGAAGGGAGCCTGCCTTACCAACAGGAGCTCTTGTTAGAGATTGTTGTGGCTGGGGAGACCTTGGGCATTCCCGGGGCACCTGTGCCCAGGGCTGAGAAAGTCCTGCACAAAGGATAAGGTTGTCCTTCTCAGACCGTCAGCTGTAACAGTCCTGGCCCAGGAGAAACCCAAATAGAGTCTAATGAGCTCTCCCCTGGATCAAGTCCTGTGCTTTTTCCCTGCCTGGGGCATGTGCTTCCTCACATGTACAAGTGCTGTGCCCGTGAAACGGGCTGGCATCCTGGCGGGGTCCAGCACTAGTACACAAGGACCACGTGGCTCCGGCCAAGTCCTAAAGTGGCCCCAGGAACACATCGGCGTGGCCCTGAAGCTCCACCAGCCTCTGCTGGGCATCATATGTCTCACCTTAGAATGAGATTTGTGGGTGGGTTGCAAAGCTGCACAGTTTTTCAGGACCAGGTGGCCACCAGGGTCTCCAGGTACAATGGTTTATAGGCAAGACCACAACCAGCATAGTTGCACCGATTTCTCAAGACAATGACACCGAAGCTGAAAACATACCTCTCTCATTGGACTCTGGTCCGTTATCCTGGGGCATAAAGGGTATATGGGGAAAGTTCCCGGGAGATCAGATGCCATTTCTGCAGCTTCTTCCACCATTTGAGAATGGCCAGTGTCAGTCTACAAGGTGACACCCTCCCCTCCATAGAGAAAGGAGACCTCTCTGCCCTTTCATCAATATGGGGGCCCCATAGGCATTCCACCAAAAGCCTATGGGACCCTCTCCCCTGAATAATTCTAGGGAGCAGGGGTGGGGGTGAGTGGGGTGGGGAGGGGACTTCAGCCTCCTAAATGTGGAGCCATGGTGAGTGAGGGGCTCACATATATATCCAAGAGCCTGGATTGTGTCCTCACTGCACAGCGTGCTTGAACAGGTTGGGCCTGGAGTTCCCACTTGCCATCAGACAAAGGTACAACGTAGGAAACCAGGGCCTGTCTGTATTTCCTGAACAGACACAAAGTAAAGACATCAGCTCCACCTGTAGGGCACTTCAGGCCACAGGCAGTGACACAAGAGTTTGCAAAACTTCTAAGAGCAGGCATGTGCAAAGGCATACAGAGTGCATATGCCATGGGCTCTATCACTATTCCCAGGGACCCCGAGGAGAGGTCACAGACACCAGACAAGCCAGGGGCCACATCATTTAAAAAAATTTTCATGTTTATTTATTTTTGAAAGAGACAGACAGAGCATGAGCAGGGGAGGGGCAGAGAGAGGGGGAGACACAGTATCTGAAGCAGGCTCCAGGCTTTGAGCTGTCAGCACAGGGCCCAATGCGGGGCTCAAACCCACGAACCACAAGACAATGACCTGAAACGAAGTCGGCCGCTTAACCGACTGAGCCACCCAGGTGCCCCAGGCCATGTCATTTGATAGCTAAGACTTGTGCTCCTGAGATCTCATGGCCGGGGTCCTGCCTCTCCCACCACCACCACCACCCCCTCCCCCCCCATCCAGACACAGGCAGCTGTAGATGGGCCGTTGGAGGTGGCGGGATGGAACGTGGTCCTCCCTACCTCCCCAGCAGCTCTGCCAGAATGCGGTGGAAGATGTAAGACAAGTGTCTCAGCTCCCTGATCGCTCCCCACTCTTGTTTCCAGTAAAGATGTAGGTGAGATTACCACGATGGGGATCGAAAATGCATTGTTGGGTATGAACCAGTGTAGACTCTTTCCATCCCCCACACCATGGGTTCCGGGGGCAAACCTGAGTGAAGATTGGTGGGGGAGAAAAGTCCCAGACTTGATGGCATGTAGGAATCAGTCGTTTCAGGTCAGATGAAAACAATCTCAGGCCTATCGGTCCGAGTAGCAGTACCAGCTGAAGGTTTGATGAGTATCTGATTGATATGGTTCCGCACAACCTCCTGTGTCCAGGCTGGGTCTAGATTTACTAAACGGGCCGATGATTGGCACCTCTCGCTAGGATCAGAATGTGCTCAGCTCGTCTTAGCAGGCCACTCACGTGGCCAGGCTCAGACTGCACACCCTGCCTCCTCTTTGGGCACAGCTCAGACTGGTTTCACTCAGTCCCGGGCATCAACCAGTGGTTTGGGGAGGGTCTAGACACAGAAATTTGGGGTTCCTCTCTGTGACTTTCTCTTTTCCAGCCTTTCCCCCTCACCACCCAGAAAACTTAGTGGCCCTGGGCTTCTTCCCTGGCTTTGCTACCCAGAGGGAAGGTGTGAGCTTTCTACCAAGGTTTTGCCCTCCCCCCCTCCATG